TATATATATAATGCTTTTTATTAATAAGACCGTTCATTATATAAAAAATATAATAAATGTTGAAAACAGTTTTGCTTCTTAATATTTATGTGGAAACCGTTTCAGGATTTATTTCATTAATAGAAAGTAAAAAATAAAAACAGTGTTTATTTGAAATGTTAATCTTTTGTAACCTTGTTAACGTCATTACTGTCACTTTTGATCAATTTGAAATAGATGCATCCTTGCTGAATAGATGTTAATTTATTTTCTTTTCCTTTTCTTTTTTTTTAAACATTACTTACCCCAAACTTTTGAATTGTAGTGTATAAGTTTCCAAAAAATTTTAAGCAGCAAAAACTATTTTCAACATTGCTAATAATAAGAAATGTTTCTTGAAATGTTTCTTATAAACAGTATATACAATACTGAGTGATAGAGGTATATATTTTTTAAATCAATAACTGATATAGTAATTTATAGGTGTATTCCTTAAGCATGACTTTCCAAAGTCACATTGATGAATGTTGATATAGAGCTTGCAGTACTTGTGAAGCCAGTGGACACCTGTTATTGTTGATTAATTGTTGCCCAATGATTCAAAGCATGACAGGTTCTCACCCCGTCAATAAAAATAGTCAGAGAATCTACCACACAGATGTTTGTTGACACATTTTGTCAGCATCCCTATTGCTAAATCAGCCCAAGGTTTGAGACCTTGCTACACACTTGTAGCCCTGAGTGACAGCAAGAGATTGTGGGAAGGATTCACACATTTACATCTGGCACTCTGAGCTTGACGGATTATCCAATTAAAATCACTAATTATCTGCTCTTTCAGAACTCTGAGGTACAACACAGCTTTGGGCCCTGAATCAATATGTAAAGATCGGAGTGTTACCACTGCCAAATCTGTCACTCTTTTAAAATGTGATCTGATGAGATTGACAGATCACTGACTGAAGTCTGGGGACACTTCAGATCTCCTGCGGCACATGTGAGAAGATGAGCGGTCCTGTGTCTTTGTGTATCTCTGTCTCAGTGCATTATGAGAGCGATTTGACCCACATGTACAGTATAGACAGCAACATCCACACCCAGACCACCACACACACATGCACGCATGCTTCCTCATACTAAAACTCAGGCGAGCAGCAGGGAGAATGGAGAAATTAAATTGAAAAAGTAAGAACTAAATTGGAAAGTAAACCTCTGGATCGACTACGGTATCTCAAGTGGCTCAAATTTAGCACATAATTACCAAGCCCTGCGAACACACACAAGTCCACATCTTGAAAGGGCTTTTCATCACCAAAAGTCAGTGTTATCACCATAGCAACAAGGGTGAGTCTCACCATTCTCCACATATACAGCGAGTGACTGCCGAGGACACCACACCTGCCAAGGCACAGTCTGCCTACCCAGAATTCCTTCTTTCATTTCATAAGAATCTGCTTTTCTACAGAAGCATGGATTTATCTGCATCCTGCGGATCAATAGGAGGCACTTTAACAAGATTCAAATCGTGTTCACCTCTTGAATGGGCAACGCTCAAAAAAGAGGGAGTGCATTTTCCAATTCCCATTTTTTTATGATGAGAGGGACGCGTACAATACTGTACATTGGACGTTGTCGTCTTTTTCAGTCTCTGTCCTTTATGGGGTCTCCCGTGGAGTGATTCTCTTGTAAATTACAGTGCAGTGAAAGCAGAATACCATTAACAGCTCTCTCACATCCTGTCAGAGGTTTATCCACAGAACTCACAGATGTTTCTCTCAAAGGTCTGTGCTAACCATATAACAAATTGCAGTAAGACATGACAGCCTGTCGACCCCTGAAAAAACAAGATCTCTTCCTATCTTTTTTGCCCTGCGAGAGATAATGCCAACAAATGAAGCAATTAAAGCTTCAATGCAGCTGATCTTTGAGTTGTGCAGAAGAGAGCAGTGAAAGGCAGACGGCCCTCCTACGGAGAATGTCTATTGAAAGTCATCAGGAAAATACGCTTGCCAATCAGTTCCGGGAAAATACTTAAAATACAGTCCAGAGCACTATGTCAGAGGGAACATTTGCTGTCTAGGATTTAAACCCTACTAATTATGGTCTTGGCTTTGGCTGGAGGCGGAAGCTTCTATGTTTTCTCACTCTTCCACAATTGTAAGTAAAGTGCAGAGTTCATGAAAAATGTCACAGGGATGAAAGTCCCACAGCAGTGCTGAAATATCGAAAATATTGGGGTTTAATTTTTGCCCTGAGAGGATGAAATAACGCACAAGGTGTTTTAAATATGTGTACCACAATCTGCATTCTGCAAGGCTGAAGAATAATAAATAGGGCCACTTATAATGCAAAGGCTCTCTTCATAAAAACCTAACACTGCTGTCAGCGTGCAGTAGAACAACATTAGTTTACTTCATGAGAGAGGAGCCCAAGCAGATCTGCCCCCTAATGAGGTGGAGAATGAACCTTAGCTCATTTATTTAGCCCTGGTGACCGCAGGTCAGTGGTCACAGCGAGTTTGAAGTTAGACATGGCTGGTAAAAGATTGCACATTGCTCTCTACCAATAACAGGGTTGTGCTCCGTTCAGAACTGAATTGAGAATGCCTTGGAAATTCCAATTCACATCCTTAATATGAGCTGATGTAGCAAACAGGATACAGGATTGTCATTTGAATGGAAGTAGGATTTAAGTGAACTGAAATTATATATACAGTGTGTATATACAGTATATATATATATGTATGTATTGGACAGATAGGATAGAAGGATGGATGAATGGAACACTTCGTTTCCCAAAATTTACCTTTGTTACATTGCTTTGAATTGCAGAAAAAAATCAGTACATTTCTCTTTCTGTCACTCCAATTCTAATTCAGCTTCCTGAACTCTAATTTTCGCACAATGCTCCATAAAGTCGGGTTTTAATTTATTAAAAATGTCTGTTATCATAAATATGACTAAATGAGCTCGATTTAGGTGGGCTGAGTGTTGCATACCTAAAACAAAAGGAATGGCTTTTAATTTGGAAAAAAATTCTGAACATCTTTTGTGTCACTGCCAGACTTTCATCTTGTTTGGAAGCTATTATGCTCCTCCTTGGAAAACGCACTTTCTTTCCTCTCCAAAAATACAGGCATGAGGTTCGCAGTGTTGCTGTAATGCGAGAGAGGGCCAGAGAAAATGCCGCTAATGTACCTGTTTAAATAGGCTTGGGCTCAGAGAGTATATGAGGGAGAGTGGGCATACTCGCATCCTCTCAAACACACTCTGCGACTGGGGATGTAATTGCAACCACGGGGCCCTGCAGTTTTCACAGTGACACTATTCAGTCACTTTGGATTTACGGGCGTGGGGAAAGAACGTCATTTCTTTGAGGAACAAGGTGAAACAGCCGAAGAAACAAGCAAGATGTTCCTAATAAATCAAACCGTTCTGAGCTACACAATGATGAATCGGTTTAAAGATTAACTATATTAAACGTGAACGTTTTTTGATGCGGTTTTGAGCATAAATATCGTATAAATCATATTTAGACACATTCTGCCTCAAAAAGCGTATTTTTCTTCTTGTTTGTCTCTCTCTATTGTTGTTCCATGTAGACTGATGAAACAATACAGCTGCAGCCAGCTCCTGTGAGAAATAATCTGCCAGAGTGAGAGGGCAGACATCAGTTTGCTGCTCACTTTATTTCTTTCTTTTCACTGCAGGTGGGGCAAATA